GGAGTTTCAGGATTTGGGGGTTTAGGAATTCCAAGGTTTAAAGATTTGGAGATTTAGGGATTGGCAAGTTGAAGAATGTGGGGGTTGAAGGATTCAAGGGTTTAGAGATTTCAAGGTTTGGAGATTTTGAGATTTAGGGATTGACGAGTTGAGAAATTTAGGAGCTTGGGGGTTTAGGGGTTTAGAGATTTCAAGGTTTAGAGATTTGGAGATTTAGGGATTGGCAAGTTGAAGAATTTGGGAGTTTCAGGATTTGGGGGTTTAGGTATTTCAGGGTTTAAAGAGTTGGAGATTTAGGGATTTAGGGGTTTAGGAATTTTGGAGTCTTAGAATTTGGAGGTTCATGGATTTCAAGCTTCAGATATTTGGGCATCTAGAGATTTGGGGATTTAAGAATTTGTGGGTTTAGGAATCTGAAGGTTCAGACGTTTCGACATCTAGAGATTTATAGATTTCATGATATGGGTAGATAGATTTCAATATTTAGAAATGTGGGGATCTAGAGACCTAAAGATATATGTAGATGTTTAGGAATTTAAATATTTGAAGATCTAAGGATCTGCTCTCTAAAATCTCTAAAGGTTTGCATTTAAAGGTTTAAGATATATGAGCATCCAGAAATTCGGGGTCCAGTGATTTTTACATCAAAGAATTCATGGACTTTTTGTTAACAATAAATCTTGCAATTTAGAGAGGAAAATTTGTGGACGGGTACTTGGTAGATTTAGTGTCAACGTTCTCATTTCAAGCTAGCAACTAGTAACTAAAAATAGCCAAAGCTGTCCCCTATCCCACATCCGCTTCCGCAAGATACACGATATCGATACAGCGTTCCAGAAACGTCTGTCAAGGATGAGTATACGTGGACCATTTTATTTGTTCCCACCGGAATCGCTCGGTAATGATATCGCTTACTATCGACGTACATATACGTATCTCGATGACGAGTTATTCCGTCTCGGTACTCACAGATACGAAAGCGTCCTCTTCTTTTTCCTCCTCTTATGCTTATCGTTATTTCTCCCGTGAGCATCAGCCTACGAGCATTCTTCGTAATTGAAATGCTGATTATGAAACGGTAAAATGACTGAAAGTTCAGCGACAAACTTTTTCCCTTCCTCGTTGAGCTTCCGCTCGTTGGATTCGCTATTCATGACAAGGATGAAAAAGTTTCTTGAAAGAGCAACTGCTAGTATCACACGGGATAAACCGTGTTTCCATTGTAACGTGAAAATGGTAATTTCTATTGTGCCCTGTATCTGGTGCGGGTTAAACAGCGTGGGTTGCTTTCGGTTTATAGACTACGCTTTGTAATCAGCAACGGATGCACAAGTTTCGCTTTCAAGGCCCAAATATGCTCTCTCGTTTTCCTTTTCGATATTATTTTTAATTATAAATTGTTAGATGTTATACAAGGTGTTATTTCTAACAAAACGCACTATTATTCACTCACTTAGGTTAGGTAGGTTAGGTGGGTTAGATGGATTAAGTGGGTTAGGTGGGTTAGGTGGATTAGGCGGGTTGGGTAGGTTAGTATGTTAGGTAGGCTAAGTAGCTTAGGTAGATTAGGTGGGTTAGATGAATTAAGTGGGTTAGGTGGGTTAGGTGGTTTAGGTGGATTAAGTGGGTTAGGTGGGCTAGGTAGATTAGGTGGGTTGGGTAGGTTAGTATATTAGGTAGGCTAGGTAGCTTAGGTAAATTAGGTGGGTTAGGTGGGTTAAGTGGGTTAGGTGGGTTAGGTGGTTTAGGTGGATTAGGTGGGTTGGGTAGGTTAATATGTTAGGTAGGCTAATAGGTTAGGTATGTTAGGTAGGTTAGATGGGTTAGGCAGGTTAAGTAGGTTAGGTGGATTAAGGAGGTTGGGTAAGTTAGTATATTAGTAATTTAGTAGGTCAGGTAGGCAGGTTAGTGGGTTAGGTAGGTTAGGTTGGTTACACAAGTTAGGTAGGTTAGTTGGTTAGGTAGGTTAGGTTAACATAATGTAGGTAACCTAACCTAAGTGAGCTCATTTTGAAAATTTCAACGTTGTCTTTCTTATTTAGTAGTAGATTATGTTAGGTTACTACATAAAACCACGTTTAAATGTTAAAACAAGGTTAGGTTATGTTACTAACTATTTCTACCCTATAATGTAGTACTCATTACCCTACTTCTTAAGGCAATTGAAGATTTGTACATACTTTATTTATTAAACACAAAATGACTAGGGCTCCTAAGGTTCTTTGAGAAAATACATTACGAAAATTGAAATTATATAAAGAAAGTTAAAAACCTTGTATATAAACATAGTTTTCGCGACAAACCAGGGAAAAATCGATTGGAAAGTTTGAAGGGCCTCTGTGAACTTGTTTGCAGTGAACTTTCACACGAGCCTCTCGTTTTCGTCGCACTACGTAAATCCTGACGATCTGATTTCGGAATTAGTTAAACTTTCCGGTACTTCGTACAATCACGAGTGACATTTAGATATCAGAGGGAACGTATAATTATCTCTTCGTTCATGATTTATATAGATTACCCGATTTCCAGCCTTGTTTCAGTAATTTCCATTTAAACCATTCTGAACATCGATATGCAACCTTTTGAAATGATAAGATTAAATTGCAATGATTATAAAAAATTTAACTACCGAAATCTCGATGAAGAATTGAATTGTTGCGGTTTCTGTTGGAATTAGAAATTATTTTTGTTTCAAAAAATTATTTTTAGAGGAAAATAATCACATGTGTATATATTACACACATTAACAAAATAAAATTCGTACGCACTTTGTTGTGATATAATTTGATAAGTGAAACGAACAGAGACACTGTATTTAAGGGTGGCCATATATTCAAAATGGCCGCCATTACCTATTCCTACTGTCGTTCCTATATTCTAAATTTCTAAATAAAATTGTCAACTAGAAATTGTCAGTATCTTCCCAACGTCTCATACGATTCGTTAAGAAACGCAGTTCAAAGCTGAAAAAAGTGTAAGAGTGAAGGAACACTCGATCGTGAACGAGAGCCGTAACGTTGTTAATCGTCGGGTCGCGTGCGAAAGGTGGGCAAGATTGTGTGTCCCCTTGCAAATTAGGCAACTCGTTTGTATGCGACGTTCCGTTTTGCCAACGACATTTTTCCCTCTTTATCGATTAAGCAGCCACTTTCTTTTCGCCGGTATTGAATAATGCAACGCGACCGACATCCGTCACGGTCTACAAATACCGCGAGACAGGGAGATCACTGAAAAATCTCGATTTTAACCTCTTAGCTGGACGGAGCGACGGGACTTATGACATTTATATTTAAATGTTACATATGGAGGAATATATTGATTGAAAGGATGGAAGTCGGCCGGAGGGGAGTGCTGGTATCGCGAAGCCACCGGCCTTTGCTGAAAGAAAAAGATCGCTTTCAAAAGGAATATTTGCTTGCGAAATTCGTGTTTGGTATCTTTTTCAAGAGGGTATTTTATACGGTCGAGTTAAACGGTGGGCGGTTGTTAACTCATTTTGGTCGCGGTTCATTAAATCGTGGGTTTCTGTGCAAAATTAACGCATACTTTATTCCACAGATTATTATATTTGAATGACATTCATGTTTCGAATAAAATATTTCAAGATTGGAGGTCTATCTTATACCTCCTCGTGTTATATCGCCACGCGTGGTATTGTCACGCGTTATAACACCACGCATTATATCGCTACGCGTAGTATTGCCACGCGTTATATCGCCACGCGTGATATTGCCACGCGTTACTATCACCACGCGTTATATCGCCACGCGTAGTATTGCCACGCGTAGTATTGCCATGCGTTATATCGCCACGCGTGGTATTGCCACGCGTTACTATCACCACGCGTTATATCGCCACGCGTAGTATTGCCACGCGTAGTATTGCCATGCGTTATATCGCCACGCGTGGTATTGCCACGCGTTACTATCACCACGCGTTATATCGCCACGCGTAGTATTGCCACGCGTAGTATTGCCATGCGTTATATCGCCACGCGTGGTATTGCCACGCGTTACTATCACCACGCGTTATATCGCCACGCGTAGTATTGCCACGCGTAGTATTGCCATGCGTTATATCGCCACGCGTGGTATTGCCACGCGTTACTATCACCACGCGTTATATCGCCACGCGTAGTATTTCCACGCGTTATATCGCCACGCGTAGTATTACCATGCGTTATATCGCCACGTTATTATCGCCACGCGTTATATCGCCACGCGTAGTATTTCCACGCGTTATATCACCACGCGTGGTATTGCCACGCGTTACTATCACCACGCGTTATATCGCCACGCGTTATTATCGCCACGCGTTATATCGCCACGCGTAGTATTTCCACGCGTTATATCGCCACGCGTAGTATTACCACGCGTTACTATCACCACGCGTTACTATGACCACACGTTATATCGCCACGCGTAGTATTGCCACGCGTAGTATTGCCATGCGTTATATCACCTCGCGTAGTATCGCCACGCGTTACTATCACCATGCGTTACATCGCCACGCGTAGTATTACCACGCGTTACAATCACCACGCGTTATATCGCCACGCACAGTGTCGTCATGTATTGTAATCCTATGCATTATATCGCCACGCGTTGTATCGCCACGTCTAGTATCGTCACGCGTTATGACGCTACGCAATATATCGCCACAGATTATACCACTCACTCAATTGCTTACTTTTCAAACTAACAAACACAAAGAAATACTGCAATAAAATAAATGTTCCGCCTTCAAGTCCTTGAATGGCAAAAAGTAGCGTATAAATCTGAAGAAAAGTAAAAAGTCCGAAGTTTCCCAACGGGAAAATCGCTTCAGTTACTTTCCTCCAGAGAAATATTCCGGAATATTTATTACCGGAAGCGTGTTACAGCTTCGACCTGTATTCGTGTCGGTCGGCGATAAAGTAATTATACGCTAGCCGCAATTCAACGAAAAAATCGAGCGTTAAACCATGAATACTAACCCCGGGTTAATGTTGGTTGTTTCAGAAAACGCGAGCCGTTTATGCAGACCGGACGGCACCTGGAACAACTACAGCAACTATAGCCTCTGCCGGGATCTTCGGGAACCGGATATCGAAGGAGGAATCGAAATTATATCGACGAAGATTTATTTCGTCGGATACAGCATCTCGTTGTTCACTTTGATCATTGCTGTTTCCATTTTCCTTTATTGCAAGTAAGTTATTTATTGTTTTTGAATTTATTGTATTATGAATTTCCTTCTTATTTGCTCTCGAAATGTTTGGCTGCTGCGAGTTAGATTTATTACAAGATCTCGGATCCATTGTATTTCAACTAATTGTAAATTCGAGCATTGAAACTGTAAGCTCTTACAAAACTCGTATCTTACAACAATTTCAGAAGCATATCTCGCTATCACGATAATAATCGAGTTTGAAATGACAACCACAGTATGGGTTCCGGATACCTATGAATAATTTCGGGAAAAGTGGCATGAATAATCATGGACTGGTCCAAGCAATCGCAAACCAAAATTATTCCACTATGTGCTAATGGATGCGGTAACAGTACTGTAATCAAATTGTGCACATAATTAATTAATTTGTCAAACAGTTTCCTTACTCAACGTTTCTCTAATTAATATTCAAAATTTCAAGAGACGATACGGCAATATAACGAGAGTCTACTGTATATAACAAAATGTATAATCAAATACATTTTTAATTTTGTAAATAATCATTTACATGAAAATTTTGTCGTGGAGTTTAGTTCAATGAAGTGTCTGAAAATGTTGATTATAAAAGGGAATCTTTTATATCATTTTATAATCACTTATAAAAAATGCAGAATGTATGCAGAGTCTACTGTGTTTAACAAAATATATAATCAGGTACATTTTTAATATTGTAAATAATCATTTACATGAAAATTTTGTCGTGAAGTTTACTTCAATGAAGTGTCTGAAAATGTTGATTATGAAAGGGAATCTTTTATATCATTTTATAGTCACTTATAAAAAATGCAGAATGTATGCAGAGTCTACTGTGTTTAACAAAATATATAATCAGGTAGATTTTTAATATTGTAAATAATCATTTACATGAAAATTTTGTCGTGGAGCTTAGTTGAATAAAGTGTCTCAGAATTTTGATTATAAAAATGAATTTTTTATATTATTTTATAGTCACTTATCAAAAATGAATCTCTGCGAAGTCCACTGAGTTTAACAAAATATACAAGTATATTTATAATCTAGTAAATGATTATTTACATACAAAATTGTCATGAAAATAGATTGAATAAAATGCCTCAAGTTAATTACAAATGTGAATCTTTTATATAATTTTATAATCACTAATCAAAAATGCGGATCACCGACAAAATTATGGTCAACGACATAACAGAATTTGTACCTCTGAAAGAAACGCAACGTTTGAAAAGGTCATTCATTTCTGTGGGAATGGGGAAATTGCAACAGGTAAAATTCCCCATGGATATGGAAATTATTAAAAGCCATTACTGCTGGTGCTTTGAGGTCAAACACTAGAGATCGGGGAAACATGAATTTTGGAAACACTGAATAACCCGGGAAATACAGAGCACGGAACTCGGGATATTTTATTAAACACGTATGGGATCTAAAATACACACTTCCGAGATGAATCCGTGGTTTCCGGTGGATTTTAATTATTAACAACACGATACACCTGATATATCAGACGTCGAAATATTACCTTCAATTTCGACCATATTGTCTATATCGATTACACAAATTTAACGTTCTCGAATTTCTTTTCTTTGGGGTTAAATTCTGTACTGAATTATTTATTTCCGGGGACAAAATTTATTGCGCTCTTTTTGAGAGAATTCTTTATCGGAAGAATATCGAGTTTCAGGGGTTTGACAAAAATTACTGAGGCATGAAATATGTAGGATGAAAAATAAAGGGGATGTATAAATTTTGCTGATATTTCGTAATGGTTAATTTAATGAATGTAACATTGTGAAATGTACAAAAGTATACATGTACAAAAGCTTTAATTTTAACAGTGAATATTTAATCCGTAATAATGAAAGCCGTACTGAATAATTAAAATAAAATTTGTTGAGAACGTATAGTTAAAGGAACAATAATTGAATTAATATATATTTGAAATTCTAAAATGTTTGAAGAAAAGTCTGTCTTTTTATAACAGTGCAAATATTAACAGTGTAAATATTAATTAATATTACAATATTGTTACAAATATTAATTCAATCATATTACAAAATTGCAATGTGAAATATCAATAATACAAAATTGCAATAATAATTCATCAAAGACGCATAAAATTGCAATAACATTTCACCCAAGACAATGCATAAAATCAGCAAACAAATTATATTATTCCAATTTAAATATTAGACTCATCCAACGATAAAAGAATCACAAAAGAATTCCCGGAGCAGTAATACCATAATTGCGCTTATAAAATGTTTGTAATACATTTATAAATGTAAATAGTTCATTTCCATGTTTGATGGGATAATACCCAAGGCAGAGGTTGCAGTATTTTTATATCAAAGCAGTTTAAAAGACTCCGTTGCGGAAGCTCGTCTGACGTCGGAATTATTTCAGTTTATACTACTGAAATTACCCAAGGGAAGGAGTTACCGCGTGTCGCGGCATCGTTCGTCTTATTCCACTGAAAACGAATGGCACTGCGATCGAACCGCTTAAAACTCGACGCTTTGATACACTCGCGTGAATCCGACGAATTACTATCCGTTTTGTGAAACGGATGCTATTCGTGTGTGGATCTTATCGCGTTGGTTTGAGGAAAGATAGCGTGTTTCGCGTCGAACAACTGTTCCCTGCGAAACGCACTTTAAATATTATGCACATGATATATAAATGTATGACACATAAATGTGTGTCATTTTGTTTGTACTGCTGTACTGAGTTTTTTTAATTGTGAAGCAAATGTTAACTTTGTTTTTAATAGTTTATTTATGCTTTGGTATTACGGGAATTCACACACTCCCCATTTCCCACATTTCCTAATTCCACATTCCCCAATTCCCACATTTCCCAATTCCACACTCTCCAATTTTTATATTCCCCAATTTCCACATTCCTCGATTCCCACATTCCCCAATTCCCACATTCTCCAATTCCCACATTCCCCACTTCCACACTCTCCAATTTCCATATTCCCCAATTTCCACATTCCCCAATTCCCATATTCCCCGATTCTACATTCCCCAAATCCACACTCTCCAATTTCCATATTCCCCAATTCCACACTCTCCAATTTCCATATTCCCCAATTTCCACATTCCCCAATTCCCATATTCCCCGATTCCACATATCCCAATTCCCACATTCTCCAATCCCCACATTCCCCAATTCCATTTCCCACTTCCACACTCTCCAATTTCCATATTCCCCAATTCCACACTCTCCAATTTCCATATTCCCCAATTTCCACATTCCCCGATTCCCACATTCCCCGATTACCACATTCCCCAATTCCCACATTTCTAAATTCTACACTCCTCAATTTTCACATTCCCCAATTCCCACGTTTTCCAATTCCCACTTTATCAAATATTTGATTTTAAGTATTTCGAGTTGTAAAAAAAAAATATACTGATCGAATAGAGTAACCTCCTCCTTTTTCGAAGTCGGATAAAAAATAAATTGTGTGCTCTCAACAGTGTGGCTACATGAAATTGTACTCTAAAATTATACTTATTAGATACTGTGTAATATCAGAGAAGTTGCGATCATGATATCAAATGGACGCGAAAACACTGACATGATATGACAGATATCGAAATGACACTTATGGCACGCTATTTTAATCTCGGCTGTATTAAGAGCTTAAACTAATAATATCGGAATGGATGTTAATGTTACGTTAATTGAGCGTTACTTTTAACGACATTATCAATATCATAATTGATCGATCGGGTTTCAAAATGATAATTTATTACGAGTTGTAAAATGAGACGAATTTAATTCGATAATGCGATTATTCTTCCATATAGAATAGTCCATGAAATTGAAGTTTATGCAGTGTACGCATGAAAATATAATTTCCAGTCGATCCAGAGATAAAAGAAACATAACAACGTTACATTCAAAGGGAAAATTATCCTTTGTCCACGCATGTTCGAGTTAAACGGGACGAACAAAGGAATCGAAGAATGAAAATTGAAGAAAGAAATTGCGCTTTCGAGCATACGCTTCCTACGTATTGTTTCCTGCACTATAAACAGAATGGCGTAGTCCATGCGTGAATACGGAAAAACTGTTTTCACGGAAAATACTCCGTTTTCTGCGTTGTCGAGCTGCGGAACGATACGCGAATGAAACACGACGTTAATTATTCGGTTCGAGTTTGTTCTTTTGGGGTGCAGGTGTTTTGGCGGGTGGGAAATTTACCACTTCTTAATTGCGGATTTTGGAATTTTAGGATATTAGGGTTTTGGAAATTTTAGATTTTTGAAATTTTGGGAGGATGGGATTTTTTGTTTTTTGAGGTTTTGAGATTTTAGGGTTTTGGGACTTTAGAGTTTTGGGATTTTAGGGTTTTGGGACTTTAGAGTTTTGGAATTTTAAGGTTTCGAGATTTTAGGGTTTTGGAATTTTAGGGTTTTCGAATTTTAGGGCTTTGGGATTTTAGAGTTTTGGAATTTTAAGGTTTCGAGATTTTAGAGTTTTGAAATGTTAGGGTTTTGGAACTTTAGAGTTTTGGAATTTTAAGGTTTCGAGATTTTAGGGTTTTGGGATTTTTGGGTTTTGGAATTTTAGGGTTTGGGACTTTAGAGTTTTGGAATTTTAAGGTTTCGAGATTTTAGAGTTTTGGGATTTTAGGGTTTTGGGACTTTAGAGTTTTGGAATTTTAAGGTTTCCAGATTTTAGGGCTTTGGAATTTTAGGGCTTTGGGATTTTAGAGTTTTGGAATTTTAAGGTTTCGAGATTTTAGGGTTTTGGGATTTTAGGGTTTTGGAATTTTAGAGCTTTGGGATTTTAGGGTTTTGAGATTTTAAAGTTTTGCAATTTTAAGGTTTCAAGATTTTAGGGTTTTGGGATTTTGAGATTTTAAGATGTTGGAATTTTAGGGTTTTGGGATTGTGGAATTTTTTATCTTTATTTGATTTTAGGACCTTTAGTCTTTTCCATTTTTGAATAAGTCCTCATAAGAAAAATCCTCCTTGAATAATTATTCCACACCCATCCTCACATTGTCTCAATTCCCCATTAATATATTAATATTAATAATATCGGCGCTGATACTAATATGAATAATAAACTAATACCGATATTAATATTAATAATATTAATTGAGCGTAACGCTGCTCCATGACCCGCAATTAAATTAACACGCGCGCATGCGCGAACCAGGCTGCTGTTCCAAATGGCATCTAAACTATCTAATAAACTTGACATAATTCAAACAAGTTTATATCTTCATGTAACATATTACATAGCGTACTGTAATGAATTATAGTAATGTAGTTATGTTAACCTAACATACTATAACGTAATTATAGTAACACGTAATAAAACTTAATTGAAACATGAACATTCATCCATTTAAATGAACAATGTTATATAATATACATAAACCATCATTCGGACCTAAATGGCAATCGACGCCACAGCATCATTCGAGATCAAAGCGTTTAGCAACGTTTACGTTAAGCAACTTTTGGTCAAACAAGCTGATCGACCAACGTTCCCTACGTAAACAGAATTTCGATGGAATGCAAACGACTTCTAATCGTTCAACTCGAAGTTGTCCTTTTGTCTACGTTTGCTCGAACCACCTGCTGCTGTCAGCTGTAGTTGAACGTGTAAACCTTGTAACAGCATAATTAACAGGCAATGGAAACACTAGCTGTACTGTTTTATAATAACTTCTAGCAGGACCGGGATATTAACATGAACACTTTGATCATTTGTCTTATGAAATCGGTTGGTGATTTGTATTTCTTTTTTGATCGATTATTAAGTTATTCTTTAAATTTCTTTGTGAATAATGTTTACTTTAAACAGTACTTTGTTTTATATTAAGTAAGAAAGCAAGATATTTTGCATTGGATTTTGGACTACACTTTTCAAATTTCTACATTTCTCAATTCTCACATTCCCCAATTCCATACTCTCCAATTTCTACATTCCTCAATTCCACATTTCCCAATTCCCACATTCTTCCATTCCCACATTCCCCAATTCTACACTCCCCAATTCCCACATTCCCCAATTCCACACTCTCTGATTTCCACATTCCTCAATTCCCACATTTCCCAATTCCACAGCCTCCAATTTTCACATTCTCCAATTCCCACATTGTCCAATTCCACATTTCTCAATTCCCACATTTCCCAATTCCACAATCTCCAATTTTCACATTCTCCAATTCTCACATTGTCCAATTCCAACATTCCTCAATTCCGCATTTCCCAATTTCCACATTCTTCCATTCCCACATTCCACCATTTCTACATTTCCCAATTCCACATTTCCCAATTCCCACATTCCCCAATTTCCACATTCCCCAATTCCCATATACCCCAATTCCCACTTCATTTAAGAATAATTTTACTGATACTAATTCTGATATCAAGTCTATTACTAATTTTATTAAATGAGAGTGCGATTAAAATGGAGCTGAGTTAACAAGATGGCATCATTTTGAATAAAAACGGGAAGTCTCCACTGTCTAACACTTTAACGAATACAACAATAAATAACGCAATAAAATTTTCCATTAAACAATATATATTCACCAGAGAACAAAACGCAGAATGACTACTATTAAAGTAATTTATTATAATTATAAATAACAACATTTTACTATTATTTAACGAAAGGAAATTTTTGTTGCAGAGAACTGAGATGCATCAGGAACAACATACACACGAACCTAATGTTCACCTACATTCTCGCCGACTCCATGTGGATTTTGAACAACGTGATACAGGTACAGAGTCTTAAATATCCACTCTCGTCCTCGTATATATACATACACAACCTGTGTAAAGTATAACGGAATAAAATTGCTATAAGTAGAGAGGAGAAGCCCATTATCGTAGACCATCGCGTTATCAAAGGGAGGGTCGTTCTTTGGCTTTTTAGAAGCAAATATGTTCACCTCTTTTCATTAATATTTTACATCAATATGTGTGCTCCATAGTGCCATTTTCTAGTTTAAAATTATGTTCATTGTTTGTTTAGACGTGCTTGTTAAATTAATTATTTTGTGTGATTTTTTGCGGACAGTTTTGTACTTCATTTTTATGTAGCGAAGTACTGTGTTTCTGAAGTTCTGCAACATCAAATTATTGATTACACAATTTCTGAAATTTCTGTGCCCCAAGTTTCTATACTTCTCAAGTTTCTACATTCCCCAATTCCCACATTTCTCAATTCCACATTCCCCAATTCCCACATTTCCCAATTCGACATTCCTCAATTCCCACATTTCCCAATTCCACA